CTTCAGTTTTTCATGTTTCGAAGGAGTTTTGTGGCCCAACTTATTATTCATCCAGTAACAAGTGCCAGTGTGAAATTATACCCAGTGGATGCTAAAATGCTTCCACAGAAAATGAACACCACATTTAATTGACCTGGTCCATCAACGCTTCACTGGCTATGACCCAGGATAATCACTTACCATCAATCTATGATTTTACAAAGATCACTGTTAATTTATGTTGAAGGGTTTAATTTCATACCACTGCAATACTTCGAAATGCACTCTAGTAGCTCTAAATATCCAAACATTGAATTATATCTCTTATCCCTAGATACTGCATCAGACTTAAACCCAAAGGTTATTTTTAATTTATTATAAAGCTACAGACAGTTTTTATTTAACACTAGTCTACCTAGTAGTGTTAAGATTTTTACTATCATCTATTTAAATAGTCTATCCTTGTTTCCAAAGCTCCTGTTGTTTCTGCTGTTCTTGTTATGAAAAATGTCATCAAAAGTTTAATCCATATAACCAGCACACCATTTGCAATATGCTGGTGGGCTGAAATGCACTTGTCTGAACCTGCTCTGCTGGAGTGCTTGGAACTCCTGTGGCTAAATGCATCTTCCATCAGACTGCTGTTTGTGCACTATATCTCCAGGGCTGGATTCTCAGCAGCCAAGCGTCTGTGACTTCAAAGATGCTGTGCTGCTTTATAACAGCTGAGGATACAGACCTCTGGAGTTTGGGGGGTTTGAATTTGTTTGTTTGGGGTTTGTTTTTTCTCTTGAATTTTATTTTATTTTGGGGTTTGGGGGGGAGGTTGTGTTTTTGGCTTGGTTTTTTTTTTATAAAGAAGGTTGTGAAGTTGTGTTTTAACTATTACACTAAAATGGTTTTATGTCCTATATTTGTCATAATATTTGACTGAGGAATAGAACTGCATTTATGATTAAAATATATCTTTGTATAAAAATACCATGTTCAAGAATTTACTTACATTAAAATATATTCGGGGGTGGATTTTTATTACTTTTTTACCTTTGTTCAAGAAGTTTAATGGTTATCTGAATTTCTGACCTTAACAAACTGTTTAGAATTATCTGAATTTTTAAAGGTCTATAATATGTATCGAAATGATAAACGTAGTTCAATTTATCACCTGGATAAATAAGCTTAAAAACCCCAAATGCCTACCACTAAATAAAAATATAGTTGTTTTGGGGTTGATACATCTAAGTCTGTTAGTTTCACAAAGCAAACAGAAACCAAGTATGAGAAAAGTAAAACTTTTGTATTTCGTTAATAGATGAAAACCCATGTTCATCAATGAACACTCTTTGTTTCATGTTACCGTGGCCTTGCTACCAATACACTGTAAATGTTAATCCTCCCTCATGTTACAACCATGGCCTTGCTACCAATACACTGTAAATGTTAATCCTCCCTCATGTTACAACCATGGCCTTGCTACCAATACACTGTAAATGTTTACCCTCCCTTAAAAATACTTTGCACTGGCAAAAAAAAAAAAAAAAGAAAAAAAAAGGAGAAAAAAGAAAAAAAAAGACATGTTGACTACAGACTGAAATCCCTAACCATGGTCCCAAACAAAAGAAAACTGCACTACAGAACAACAGTATTATGAAGATTTAGGTGCTGACATTTAGTGACTGTCATGACATTTTCAGTTATAAGCAGGAAATTAATACATGAAATTATTTTGTTGTAAAAAGTAAGATACAGTGCTATTGAACATTGTTTCAAGTAACGTGGAAAAATAAAAGAGCAAAACATAAATGCAGTTCTACAGGCTTTTCCTTTATCCTATTTTTACGTTCTTTAATTCCAGCTTTGGAGTTCTTGTTGCTGTTAACAGACACCTATTAACCAATCTTCTGGCAAATTACAAAAAAGCATCAAAACATAATATGGTAGTGGAGGCCTTCTGGTAGGAACAGGATTTAGACCTAATTGCTACAATGGCATATTTCAGTCCAGGCTGCATTTACCTCACTTAGAGCTTGCCTACCAATCAACTCTACTTCAGTTACAGATAAAAATGGTTTCAATACAGCACAAAGAAAGAGAAAAAAAATTTAAACATTCTCACAACTTCAGTCCAGTTGTTAATCTAATTTGAGCAAAGCCAAGTACCAGGCAGAAATCATCTTCATTTCAGAGTTAATCACCGTTTAGAAAATTTTAGCATCTTAGAGATATATACTCAGTTTACCAGATGCCATTTACCTGCAAACACCTTTCTTCCTAAGCTGTAGCTATATTAGTCTTTCAAAACAAAGATTTAGTCCCACACCTTCACAAATGTTACAAAAAGCAGATCTGTAGTAAGTCACAATGTACTAGCTACTCTGTCAACAGCTCAGATGCAAGCTGATCTCATTTGTTTGAAATCTCATTTTCTGCTTACTTTGCCACTCATGGAAAAGCATTAAATTTATTAGCCATTATCTACTATTAATATTTAGATCTATCTTACAGTATATGCCTACTGAAAATCTTTTTTTTCATCAGCTACATTATTTCTCCAAACGAAGTTCAAGTCACTCTAGAGCTGGAGAGCACTCAGACAGGACAAGACCCCATGCCAGGCACACAAGCACCACTAGTCTAGCCCTGGACTATGCCAGTACCCTTCCTGAGCCGATGCTGTGTTGCTAGAGCAGACAACAAGCCCGCTTTTGCTAAGAGCTACAGAGATATGAGGGCAAAAAGCCCACAGGATGGAGGTCACCAGCTTCCCTCAGCCCTGCCCGCCATGTACAAACCCAAACACAAGGCACAAAGACTCGTACTTCAAAAGTCATCTAACAACACGTCAAGATTTGAACTGAATGTGGCATTAACATGGCTGTACTGTTTATACTGTTAAAAACCTTCTTGGTCACTTGTAACTGTGTAACTCTTCCACACTAGATACCAGCTTTGCTCTTTAAATTTTACCTCAAAAGTTTCAGGAAAATTATATGAAGATTTTAAGCACCTGAAACAACAATTTAAAACAAAACAAACAAAACCAACAAACCAAACCAAACAACAAACAAAAAAAAAAACAAAACCCACATCATAACAAACAAAAAACCCCCACCGAAATCCAACAACACAAAAGCCAAGCCCAAGAGAGCTCTACCATACTGTCAATCCCAAACATCAAAAATACATAACACTAAATCCTGCTTTTATTTTGTGTTTGTCTGCCCTGACTTTTGACCCTCTCTTAGTCCATTACATACTTGTACTGCCGAGACCACTACCACCACCACCAAAGGATTTTAGTCTGAGCAGTTACACAGCCCACCTTTGCATCAAAGCACCTCTCTGCTTCCACATCTAAAACATCCTTCCATCCCTGTAAGCATGCACATCTCCCATCTTACCTCTGGTCTGTGATGAATTCAATCCGCTCTCCTGGGTGATGAGCAGCTTCCACAGGGTCTCTTCCTCACATGGCAGCTTTGCACAGCACTTTTTTCTTCTGAGGCAGCTATCACAGAGGGGAACAGCCACAGAGTCCCTGTGACCAGCGTAACACTTTGAAAAGGACCATCACTAAACTCCTCTCTGAACCACGACTGGCACCAGTAAATACTTCCTGAGAGGAACGGCTGCCTGTGGAGAGGAGCTCTCACAGCTACAGGTGAAACGCGCTGTGAGGCCCTAACTGGAACCCCTATCGCCCATGCACCACCGTGAGGGTGGGAGCGGAAGGGCAAGTGGAGAGGCCCGGGGGAAAGGAGTGAAACAGACCAGCAGAAACGGTCAGCAGGAGAAGGTGGTGGTTAATTTCGTGTTTCCCCTACCCCATCCGAATCCATTTTAACTGGTAATTAGTTAAATTTACTTTCCCCAAGTCAAGTCTGTTTTGCCCATGACAGTAACTGGCAAGTGACCTGTCTTTACCTCAACCTGCAAGTGTTTTCATCCCATTTTCTTCCCCTGTCCTGTTTAGGAGGGGGAAGTGAGCATCTGGGTCAGCATCTGGCTGCAACCCAAGGTCAGCTCACCACAGCGTGGTAGACAGATTTCATTATTTTCTTTGCTGCCAATCAAATTATTAACCTTTACTTCTTGAGTGCCCCAGTTCTTTCTGATCTTTTTAACCTCCAGCATCTTCTATTGATCACATTTCTCTCCAGTCACAGCCAAAGCCAAAAAGGGGCTATACAAGCATGGTATACTAATGCTCTTTTAGAAATACGTTATATATACTTAGCAAATTTCAGAGTTATCCAATACAGTATTCCTTATTAAATCAGTTAAGGGCCTACACATTCTATATTTCACTGCAGTTATTGCAAGAACTACAGCAAAATTTGTCAGAATCCTGAAGCAGCATCTTCACTGCCTTTCTTGTTGCCAACCTCAGTGAGCACAGTGGAGCAGCACAGCACGCAGGACTGCACTCTGCACCAGAACTCAAGAGTGAACCTGCTGCAAGGCCTTCTCTTGGGTGGCAGACACAAGGAAGAACAAGGAGATAACTCCTGTCCTCCAGACCTTCCCTCAGCTTGCCGAGCAGGAAGCAGAGAGGGCAAAAGCAGCATATGTCTGATTCTAGCATTTTTCCATTCTTTCTTTCAGTCAGACTTGACAGCAAGTGGAACAAGGAGTTTATGAAAAAGGAATGAAAGAAGATGGGACAGCAACTGAAAAATACGCTAAAGAATCTGTAACCATGTTACATTTAATTTGGCATAACACACAGGATTTTGGAGTTATAGTATTTTTTAGCTATTAACTAACTTTAAATAAGCCTGCAGAGAAGACATTTGTCTCACTAGGGCACAGACAATATGTTTGTGTCACCTACTTCTAGAAGCATCCCAAAAAATAACAATAGAAATAAGAGCCTCCCACTATTGTAACTATCTGTGAGCTGCAATTTCAACACTTCCAAAATTTCAAGCGGTTAAGGAGATTAGCACAACACCATACAACAGAACTCAGAATTTGCTCACTATTTTTAAACACAAGAAACAAACTAAATCACACACTCAGAAGTTATGACACACCAGTACTTTTATTTCAATAAAATCATTAATACTACGAAAAAGCATGTCATTTTAACTGATGAACACCTCCCCCAATCCTCACAACTATCCATGCATACACACCTTGGGATGTTTTTGAAAGGTAACACTAAGCAATCTTAGTTTGTTTTTCAAATTCAAATGTGCAAAACATCCATTAGGGTATCTACAGATTTTGCCTAAGAAGACACACAATTCTCATCACCGTATTTTCATTTCCAGTACCACTCAGAGGAAAAATACACCTTTACAGCATTTTTGTTTGTCTTCCAGCAATCAGTAGCCAATTTATTCATCTGCAACATTCACAACAAACCAGAATTACTACAACGTTCAAGCTACAGAATTTAGCTTTAACAGTCTAGACCACTGGTCTAAGTGGAATACCCTACTTCCCAAAGTACCTCAGACCTTGGGCTTTAACAAAGAAGTAAACTGTGTATGCCCAAAGCATGGTGACGTGAACAGATAAACTCACCTTTTCTTTAGCCTGGTAGATCAGTTAGGCTCTAAAGTGAGCAATCTTCAGTGCTAAGGTCCTCCCACAGCAAAATTCTCACAATGCACAAGCTTCTAGGAGAGGAAGCCCTGATGGAACAGGCTGTACACCCAGGTACGTATCCAGTGGGGTAATGATATAACATGCCTGGAAATTATCATCAGCACACACCTGCTTTATAGGCTTAGCATCCCAGTGATTGTTGGCCTTTTCTGTTCTCCTACTTCATTATGCCACAGCAATCCTTTCACAAGTACACATATGTCTGGTTGCCAATATATACTGTATTATCAAGAAAATCCTTCAGAAACTAACACCAGTTTATGGACACAAAATTTTCCATTTTCTCTTGAGTTACCAAAGATTATTAACACATATTGAAAGGACAGTGCAGATCTTTAATTGTGTAGGTTTATGTGAGAATCCTTGACAGCACTTGTAGAGCCTTCAGACATGATGCTTGTATTTCCAGTCTTTTCTCAGACAAATACCAAAGTTACTTTAACAAGAATCCTGTTCATATTAAAAAAAAAAAAGTAGCGACAAGTCAGAGATGCATTCTTAAACACAACACTGAGGCAGAACACTTGAAAAGGCCAAGAAACAACAGCAACAGTTACATAGGCAAGAGAAGCAGCCTCCCCAGACAGGACGCCTGATGGACTGCCATACAGCAGAAGGGCAGAGGGTACACAAGGCTATTGCTGCAGTGCCTGAGTGCAGAATCCCATCAGTTTTCAATATATAAAGCCATAAGAAAAGCAACCTATGTCAAAAGAGGTTACAACACAACTGTAAGAACAGTTGGAGGTGAGCAAACCAATAAATAAGCTACACTATAGAGTACATCCCTCTAATTTATCAGAGCTAAGCCAATTGGTAAATTCTCGGATGCACCAAGACCACTGGCAAAGCTTTGTCATGACAGCTAACACCTTTGCCCAAGCCACTTAAAAAAATGAACACACACACACACCCCCTCCAAGGATACTCTCACACACTTCTGCACATGGAGTAGTGAAAAGGATTTAGAAGACCAACTGAGTGAAAATGACTCACCTAGTAAGCAATTACAGAACAACAACTGCAGAAAAGTGAACAACTGGCAAAATACAAACATGCAGCAAGTCACTGAAAAGTCCTGGCTCTCTCTATGCATCCACTGAAAACCTCAAAATTTCAACCTACTCCAAATACTGACAGGCAGAGATCAGAAAAGTAGAAACAAACAGGTTAGCAGTCAAAAGCTGACCCTCCCTTTTAAGGGGTGTAGGGAAGAGAATCTGCTAGTCAGGAAAACAAAATTAATTACCAAGAAAAAATATAACACATTATTTCCCTGAAGAGCTCTCTATAATGCAGAAATATAACTGAAAGCATCCTAGTCTACTTCCTCCCCATTCTATATATTCTGATATTCCTGCTCATAAAAGTAACTCTCAAAATCAAAAGCATCTTTATTTCACAGTTGGACTCTCCTCTGGTTTATTCAGCAAGTGACAACCATTCACTGAAGAGTACACAACTTAAGATAACCATTGTTAATACTATGCCTTGTTAGAGAATTCTCTGACCACAAGATTGAAATACTTTCCTACCTAACAATGAACACACAACTGGTGTGAAAAAATTAACTAAAATATTAAAAAAAAACTTAAAATTCCGATAAAAACATTTTAGGATAGCAAATAAAGAACAAAACTAAAGATTCAGTTTAAATCACAACTATGATCCAACAGATGCACATCACAGTTTAAAGCCAGACTAACTGTTCCCTTATTTCACTTTAAAAAGGTGGTTTTTTTCCAAATCCTCTATTTAAAAAATATGCTGTACTCATACAAGCTGCTCCACAAGTCATCGTCCTTGATTTATAACAAGAAAACACATTCTTACCCTAACATCTAACCTACTCCTACAGCAAGGCTATTATGAGAATTTTGAAAATCCCTAAGCTTATGTGTGTTACAGAAACATACTTACACTTTAATACTATGTTTTACAAAATAAATTTTGCTTTTGAAGGGATGTGCAAGTCCATGTTTTGAGAATTTGAAGATTCTTCATATATTTAACATTGCAGTAGTGAACACCCAAGACATTTTTTTAAACATTATCCTTTATTCATGTATTGCAAACACACGTCCTTGAATGTTAACTCCAGTTTTGTAACAGCAAGACTGCAATTCATACACGATTCTTCATTTCTCATCTCCCTGACCCAAGAAGCCCGCTCTAACAAAACAACCGACCAAAACCAAAACCAAAAACCCCAAACAAATTAGGCTGCTACTTGAACAGCAGCTCCTCTTTCAGCAACTGCTACATTCAGCTGCTTTCTCCTGCATGAATTTCCTTTCAGGAGTTGCTATCACTTCAGATCTTCACCTTTTTTTCATCTGACCAGTCCTTAAGTTAGCTTCTGCCAAAACAACTAGACTTAACAACAGAAACTTAACAGAAGGACCAACATCATCCTGAGAAGGGCAAGTTAAGAAATAGCTACACACAGGTACAACAGTGAACCAGGGTCACAGGCCAGCATTCGACAGCCCCAGGAAGAGATGACAAGCACCGGCAGGTGGTAGGTAAGGTCCTGAACCACCTGAGCCGCATCTGCTCATGCCTACAGTAACTCACTCGGAAGCACAACACATTTCCCCCGCAAGCCAGCTCCGCTGGGAGAGCCCCCATCAATCACACCGACCTTAGGGAAGGCAAAAAAACCTCAGGATAGCCTGGCGCTGGCCCCTGTGCCAGCATCAACTGCAAAAGAGAACCTTCGGCTGAGCAACCCTCGGGAGAGCCAACACACACAAGGGCACCAGCACCCATCCCGCACTCAATCACCACCTCCACTTGTCACCTCCAGCCGCGGGCCGGGCTGCGGAGGGCTGCTCTGAATAGGGAAGCGCCGTCCCCTCGCGTTTCATAGTGGGGCGCGGACCAGGATCGTCCAGGCTCAGGTGCCCGCCCTGCGTCCTCTATCCGTCGGGGAGCCGCACCGGCCCAGCACCGGCCTCCAAGGCCCGGAGCCTTCTCTCCCGCCCCGAACTCCAGCGCCGCTGCCATTCCAACAGAACAGGCCCGCGCAGCCCGGCGGAGCGTTCGCGGCGAGGCTCGGAGAGGCCCAGGTAGCCCCTCCCCGCCGCCGTCCCCAGCCCCGCCCCGCGAGGGGGATGAAGGGGCCGCGGCCGGCCTAGCGCGGGGACGAGGAAGCGGGGACACGCTCTCAGGCGGCGGCGGCAGCGGCGGGCGGGGTCACGAACTCTGACCTTTCACAGGGCACGGCACACAAACCAAAACATACCCCCCGCACAGCAGCCCCGCAGCACAGCCCCGGCCCCCCCGCACCCCGATAGCCCCTTCACCACCACCACCGCCTCCGCCCTGCGGGGGTAGGGCCACCGCCAGGCACCGCTGCCCAACACCGGCCCGCCGGGGCCCGGGTCAGGGTCACCGCCAGGGCACGTTTGGCGCCAGTTCCTGAGGTAAAAAAAAAACAAACGGTTTTTAAAATTGAGGCGGCCCGGCGGGGTTTGTCCCGTTGGGGCCAGGAGGAGGGACGGGGTGCGGGGGGGTGAGCACCGGGACCCTGCTCGGGGCAACCCCGCGAGCGGCAAAGGGGATGGGTGGCGCTCGGTTTAAGGGGAGGGGGGATGCGAAGACTCCGGTATTTCGCTGGTGAGAGCCAGCTGTGCCGCTCGCTGGCCTGCAGCTCCTGGCGGGAGAGGGAGGACCATTGTGAGGTGCTGGGCCGATCCGGTGCGGGAGTCCCGTTGCGGAGCCGGCGGGCTGGAATGCGGGCCGCCTGAGCTCAGAGCCGGTCCGGTCTCGGTGAGAGCAGCCTGCTGTCCGGGGGGTCGCGGCGATGACGAGCTCGGGACGCGGACACAGAGAGAGAAGATGGAGTCTGAGCGGGCGGAGGCGGCGGCTTGAACCCGACCCTTTTACCTTTGCCACCGGGAGGGCGGAGGGGAGGGGGCGGCGGGTACTTTGCATACGGGGCTGAGACCGCCGCCATCTTACCGGCCGCTCCCCTGCTGCCATGCCCGTGCCTCTTATAGCCTGACATGAGGATGTACCGGCGGGGAGGGGGAGGGGACCTAATGGCGGCCACAGCAGCCCCGCCTGAGCCTTGGCGGCCAGCCAGCGCCGCCATCTTGTGCTTAGTCGCGTCCCTCGGGTGTTTTCCCTCTTGCTCGAGAGGCGGGGCCGCGGCCCTTACAGGCGGTTGCCTCGGCCAATCGGCGGCGGTGGGGGGGAGTGCTGCGTCTTCAGTGAGGTCATTGGCTGGAGCGGGAGGGGTGTGGTTTCACGGCGTGCGAGGGTCTGGCGCGTCGGCGGCCACAGCCAATGGGGGCAGGTGCCGGTGCGGCGGGAAGGACGCGGCCGTCAGGAGGGGCTGGAGGAGCGGCGGCGCGGGGAGCCGGGGCTCCCTCGTTCTCTGCACCGTGTCCATTGCCGCGCGGAGTCCTCCCGGGCTCCTGCCACAGGGACAGTGAGCGGGGGTGCCCGGCGGAGCCGAGCCTGCGAGACCCGCCCTTCCTGCCCGGTTTTCCAGACCGCAGAGGATGCAGCCGGGCAGGCAGTGTGAACACGTTCCCTCAGGACAGTGAGCCTGAGTTCGGCCTTTCGCCGTGTCATCCTGGCAGGGTCATACCCGCAGAATGTCTCAAACGGAGGGTATAGCTTTCCACTGAGAGTCACTGCAGCTTGGACAGAAATTAATGGGTGTTTGCTGCATGGGACAGCAGAGTGTCTAAACGTGCTAAGGCGGCTGCCACTCTCTTACACTGAAGATACTGGCCGGCTGCCTTGAAATTTTAGGCTCCACTGGTTTTGTTGGCTTGCCTTGGGTTTTGTGGGTTGTTTTATTTTGTTTTCCCTTTATGACCTCTGCTGCTCAGGGGTTTGCTAGGAAGCTGATTTTGCATTGTGTCACGTTCTAGGCATGAGCATCACTAACACGTTTACTCGGTGTGGCTGTGTACAGTCTCTGGGCTTCCAGTTGGGTTTGATCCGATAGCCTCAGCTTATTGCTGTTTTGGGAAGGTCGAAAGTACAAAAATCCTTGATGGATAACAACACCGACAGCAAATCTGTCAGAGACTTACCACAACAAAAACTTCATTGTGTCTTAGAAGGGTGTTCTTATGAACAAAGTATCTCATCTTTAGAGCTTCCTGCTTCTTAAAACACTGGGAAAACCACACGCCACAAGCATATGGTTATTTTCCTTGCTGAACATAAAAAATGAATTTAAAATAGGAGAAAACACTGAAAGGAATTACTGAACCACTGAGAAACCATCCACAAGCTTCAATATTAAATGGGTTTGGTGGAAATGCTTCACGGCACAAATTGAAAACACTTGAAGAAAAATGAGAAGCTGCATGAAAAAAACAGCATAAACATGATTTCCTTAGGCAAATCTCAATTTTGATTATGCATTGTTAAGAATAGTTTTCCTTTGACATATACAGAATAATTTTCACATTTATTTGCCACAGTATGATTTAATCTTTTTAACAGAATTAATTTTGACATTTCAACAGTATTAATGTTGCAGAAGTTGCACTTGAGTTGGGGGGGGAAGGGATGTGCTAGAGACATGGATGCATTTTTCTGTTACATGTTTTTCTGCTGTTCATCTTTTTTTTTTTTTTTTTTTACTTTTATGCTAAATGATTGCTTTGCAAGTGCCACCAGAAGGTTTTCAATAAAACATCAAATGGGTCATCATTCAGGCTGCGTTTTCATTTCCTACGCCTGGGTCAGAATCTGAACTCTGGCTCTGTAATGACCAAGTCACAATTAAAAACTGGATGCATGAATTTGTAATCTGAATTAAATTTACCCTTGGAGAAACACAACCCTAATAATGGTCATTAAAAACATATTGGAAATGTGGGTTGTTTTGTTTTGGGGTTTTTTTCTTCCTTTTTTCTATTCACTTTGTGGCATTTTTT